CCCGCTTGATTCTGCCAGCCCTGCGAGCTGCCTGGGGAATCTGCTGAGTCATTGACAGTGAGCACTCCTGCCTGCCCTTTCTCCTGCCTGGCCTGGGACCAGAGGCAGCTGCTGTCACCACAGGACATCGGGGGTTGGGAGGAATCACAAAAAACCTGCTGCACGATCCAGCCAGAAAGATGATCACAGTGCATCCCCCAGTCCAAGAAAAACCCGTGTTGACAAACAGCATACCTGTGCCCATTTTCGGGCCATATGCAATCTCCTGCTAACACCTGATATTCCCCAAGGCTGGTTCTGGGTGGCGGACCCCAAGCCTTTCCATGGTGCCATCTCTCCTCTGGCTCCTGCTCATCCGCCTTACCCTCTGCTCCTTGACCCTCTCTTCACCCACAGTCATAATCTAAACCACCCGCTCTTGCTGGATCCTCCCCTTCCTGACCTCTAAAAATCGGAGATGAAGGGCTCCATTTCAAGCCTTATCTCTGTGCTGTGAAAGGTCGCTTCCTAGGTGAGCCCATCATCAGTCCAGGACTTGAAATGCCTTTCAGCCTTAATGATATCAAGGGGATGACCCACCCATCCAGCTATATTATCTTCCATTTGCTTCTTTTATCAGGGAGAAGATCCTCGGCTGAGATGGATCAAAAGATTCCTATGTTCTAAATTTAGAAATTTAGTTTGTCTTTGGAAAGGCTTCTTTCTCTCTGGGTACATAGTTTCATTTCAGCTTAGGGGAGAAGACCTTTAAAAAAGTTCCTATCAGGCTCTGAATATCAGCTTCAAACGTGACCAACTTCTGATCATAGAGCTACTTTTTAATCCCTTCAAATATCTTGTTAAGTGGCAGTGGGGATAGGTATAAAGATTCCTGACAGTATCGAACAACTGCAGGGACGCGAGAGGTGTCCCCAGAGAGGGTGCAAAAGCTACTACTACCCTCCCAAGATCCAGAGCCACTCTCATAGATGGCCACAAAAAAAAAAAAAAAAAAAAAAAAAAAGACTGAGATAAACCCTCTGGGAGCTGGCAAGAGGCGAGAGGGAGAGGACCTTAGCTGCAAATGGCCACACTTCTGTCTGGCCAGCCATATTTTGGGGCCCCCAATCCAACTTTGTGCTGCCTGCAAATGCAAGAACTGATAACCTGCGCCCCAACCCCGGCTTGTAGACAGGAAGTAAGCAAGTTCTTGGGACACAGAACCAGACAGACACGGAGGCTATAGTGTCCCTGGGAGAGAAAAGATCAACAAACAACCAATGGGAACCTGAATTTACAAGAGTCTGGAGTTAGAAAGGAAAGGACATGGGAAATTTTACCCTCCTTTTCGACAGGGCTCTACAGAGATCCGAGAGAGCTGACTCTGGTGAGAATGCTCACTCTTTGCTAGCCTCTACCCGTCTTCTCAGGACCCCACCTGCAGTCTGCTGACACGGTGCCCCTAGGGCCAGAGTGGCTCCAGTGGGGATGTGGAGAAGGTTGTTCTGATGGGCCTGCAAGGTCAGGCAGTTGGATTAAAGCTGAGGCTTGCAAGGAGAGGTCCTTGAAGATGTTAACTGTACCAACAGTAGAGAAGAGGACAAAACCCAGGAGTGTGGGGAGAAGGGAGGGGACCAGCGAAGGATACAGAAGCTGGTATGAAGGCTGTGGGCCCAGGGAAGTGCCTTCCAGTAAGAGGAACCCAGAAAAGGTCACCGAATGCAGCTGCAGTGAGGTCATTGGGGACTGGGATGTAACAGGGACAAAAATCTGATGGGGATCAATCCAAAAAGAATAGGAAGAGAGGGATCCCTGGGTGGCTCAATAGCTTAGTGCCTGCCTTCGGCCCGGGGTGTGATCTTGGAGTCCTGGGATCGAGTCCTGCATCGGGCTCCCTGCATGGAGCCTGCTTCTCCCTCTGCCTGTGTCTCTGCCTCTCTCTCTCTGTCTCTCATGAATAAATAAATAGAATCTTAAAAAAAAAAAAAAAAGAATAGGAAGAGAGAAATTGGAGGTGAACACCCATGATGCTTTTGTAAATTGTACTAGAAATAGTAGTAGGAAAAGAGGTGGCTGAAGAGAGGTGATAAAAGGGAGGGAGGGGGCTAGGGGCACCCAGGTGGCTCAGTCAGTGAGGCGTCTGCCTTCAGCTCAGGTCATGATCTCAGGGTCCTGAGATCGACCCCCACAGCATCAGGCTCCCTGCTCAGAGGGTTCTCCTCCCTCCCTAGTCATGTTCTATCTCTATATGTCTCAATTAAACAAAAAAAATCTGTAAAAGAAAAAGGGAAAGGAGCTTCTCTGAGGATTGGGGGAATGTCATATTTGGGGTACTTTTTAAACTTTTATTTATTTACTTATTTTTTTAAGTAACCTCTACCCCCAGTGTGGGGCTCAAACTCACAACCCTGAGGTCAAGAGTCGAACGCTCTTCTGACTAAGCTAGCTGGGAGCCCTGAAAACTGGTATATTTGTACATTGGTGGGAACTATCCAGTAGGAAGGGAAAGACAGATGCTAAAGAGGCTTGAGCAAGTGTCAAGGTGGGCTGCAGGGAACACAGCCAAGGGGTCATGATGAGGGGGAGCACGTGGGCCACTGAAGTAGCAGGAACAAAGGTGGAATGGGGGGCCCCGAGGCAGGTCAGAGGATGAGACTGTTGCCTTCTTCTTTTTTTTTTTTAAAGATTTTATTTATTTATTCATGAGAGACACAGAGAGAGAGAGGCAGAGACACAGGCAGAGGGAGAAGCAGGCCCCATGCAGGGAGCCTGACATGGGACTCGATCCCGGGTCTCCAGGATCACAACCCAGGCTGAAGGCAGCACTAAACCGCTGAGCCACCTGGCTGCCTGAGACTGTTGGCTTCTAATGACTTCTATTTCTTTAGTAAAATAAGGAGAAAGGACATCCTTTGAGAGGTCTGAAGACAGGAGGTGGCATAAAATAGCTCCTGGAGGATGTGCTCCAATATGAGTTTATCAGAAGTGCCATGCACCATTGCCAAACCAAAACAGAAGAAAATAGAGCAAGAAAATGCAGTGGGTTTAGTAGAAAATAGGAACAAGGAGGGGCTCCATGGGGGGCTCAGCGGTTTAGCCTCTGCCTTCAGCCCAGGGCGTGATCCTGGAGGCCTGGGATCGAGTCCCACGTTGGGCTCCCTGCATGGAGCCTGTTTCTCCCTCTGCCTGTGTCTCTGTCCCCCTCTCTCTCTGTGTCTCTCATGAATAAATAAATAAATAATATTTTTTAAAAAATAGGAACAAGAGGGATCCCTGGGTGGCGCAGCGGTTTGGCGCCTGCCTTTGGCCCAGGGCGCGATCCTGGAGACCCGGAATCGAATCCCACATCAGGCTCCCGGTGCATGGAGCCTGCTTCTCCCTCTGCCTATGTCTCTGCCTCTCTCTCTTTCTCTCTCTGTGACTATCATAAATAAATAAAAATTTAAAAAAAATTTAAAAAATAAAAAAATAAAAAAAAAATAGGAACAAGAAAACAAAAATACAAAGGGAAAATTCAGCAAAGAAAACATACCAGAGTCCACATGTGACAGTAATTCCAATAAACATGAATAGGTTAGAATCACAAGTTAAAGTCAGAGCCTTTTGGCTTGGGTTTTGCAAAAGGAGACATGAAGCTTGGTTTGCAGCCCAGAATGAGGAAACTGAACGTGCCAGGGACCAAAGCAGACTGTAGAAGTACTTATGCCAGAGTGTCGGCAGTGGTGACTACTAGCTGGTGGGTTTAGGAGCGATCTTTGTTTTCTTTGTACCTTTCAATATTTTCTGAAACTTTTTGGGAGTGTGTACACTAATTTTATAGTTGGAAAAAAGCAGAAGCTGCTGTTAAAGCCAGCTGAAGCAAATTTATATGGCACCCGCACTTGCTGTCCAATTCTGTGCCAGTCCCAAAGATGCTCTAAAGAAGAGTTCCTGCCCCCCAGGACCTGGCTGGAAATGAGACCAGCTGGACAGTAATAGAGGTGCAGGCCATTGTGAGGATGGGACTCTACTACGGACTTCGAGCCCAGGAGGGAGGCAAGCATAAGCAAGCAGAGCCCCCTGGAGGAGGAGGCACTCGTAGTGCATGCAGGACGTGGTCCAAGGGTGAGCCCGGGGATGGCATTCCAGGCTGCGAGCATCAGCAAGGCCAGGAGCAAGGCCAGGACCCCATGAAGCTGGCCCAGGGCACACGGGGGAAGTGGTGGGGGCATCGGGGCCCAGAGGCCAGGGACGCAAACAGGTTGTACCTGGTGCGCTGTGCAGATAGGCAGGGGGAGAGTGGGCAGGACACAAAGCAGCTAGGAGCTACTCCCCAAATGGGCAGCCTTGAACCCCAAAGTACATGAGAAGAAATGGCTGGGTCCCTGTCACAGCTCCTTGGCTCATCCTCTACCTGCCACACGTCACACATACACATTTGATGGCCCTGGAGAGCCCTATCGAGGGCTCAGAGAGGGTGACCACAGAGGAGCATGGCCATCAGTGGCAGCAAACAATGGAGGTCAGGGGTTTGGGTGGGGGGCTGGGCCACAGAGGCTGCCAATGACCCAGACCCAGGCCACATGCACACAATCCAGGCTCATGCCGGTCCCAGGATCAGTATGGCCCTGGCCAGCACCTGTCCTGAGTGTGCCCTGGAGAGTCACCCTGTGAGGCAGGCAGGGGAGCCGCGGGGAGACAACAGTCTGGCCAAGGCCTCCCCTACACCTATCAGAGACCAGGTGTTCCGGGCCACGCTTCCTGGCAGGACAGGAACAGCTATGCTCTTGCCTCTGGCCTCCCTCAGAGCTAGGTTAAACTTTGACTGATTCTTAACCCCTACTCCGTAAGCGTCCTCTGGTCACATTTTAATTCCAGTCTGGGTGACTTCAGTCTTCACTTTCCCCACTTCCTGTATTGAGTTTCTCCGGGAGGTACAGGCCCTGCTGAGTCTCTGGAAGGATGCCGGTGGCTTCAGAGTCACATCCCACAGCTCCCAGTCCCAGTTGGAGCCACTCCAAGTGACGGTTGCCAGGTGAGTGCCTGGAGAGACCAGGCCCAGAGTCAGTGAAGTGGGTGGCCACTGCCATGCTCCAGGCTTCTCTGCTGGCGAAGCAGGTGCTGCTGTGGGGCAAGCAGGCCCCACACATTGGCCCCTTTGCCCTAGGCCACCTCCTGTGAAGGGGGCACCTCCACTGGGCCCCCTGCGTGGGCTCCATGGCATTTTCTGAACTCCTGGACCGAGTGGGTGGCCTGGGCAGGTTTCAGATTCTCCAGATGGTGGCTCTGGTGGTCCCTATCATGTGGCTCACCACTCAGAGCATGCTGGAGAACTTCTCGGCCGCTGTGCCCAGCCACCGCTGCTGGGTGCCCCTCCTGGACAACAGCACTGACCAGGCCAGTGTCCCCGGGACCCTGGGCCCCAAGGACCTCCTGACCGTCTCCATTCCATTGGGCCCCAACCACGAGCCCCACCAGTGTCTCCGCTTCCGCCAACCACAGTGGCAGCTCCTGGACCCCAATGCCACGGCCACCAACTGGAGTGAGGCTGCCACAGAGCCGTGCATGGACGGCTGGGTGTATGACAACAGCACCTTCACCTCCACCATCGTGGCCAAGGTAAGAGGCCCTCCTGACACCTTCCCCAAGTCCTGGCACTTTAGGGACCAAGGTCAAACTCACATTTGACTGGATTCAGAACAGCCCAGTCCTGGGAGGGACCCACCTCAGCAGACCTCCTCACTTCCCACAAGTGGGCTTCCAGCCCCTCCTCTCGCTCATCGGGTGGCAGTTCCAGCCTGTCTCAGGGGACAGGGAACCCCAGGAGGCAAATCAGCTCAATCTGGGCAAGTGGGAGGGGCCTCTTTTTAGAACCAGAGAGACCTGGGGGAGTAGGGACCAGGCACCGACTCAGGGTGGCCCTGCAGAGTGGGTGAGGCAAGGGAGAGCAAATGAGTCTAGAGAGGACTTGACCCGGGACTAGAGGGCAATAGGGTGACGTGGAGAGGCTTAGGGGGACAGCCCTGCCTACCACCCTAGAGGTCTCCAGGCCATCTACCCACACCTAGCTCCCACGGGCCTCCCCATCAGTGCCTCCGCTCCCTCACATCTGGGCTTACCTCCCACTACTCTCCCACCAGTGGGACCTGGTGTGTGACTCCCATGCCCTGAAGCCCATGGCTCAGTCCATCTACCTGTCTGGGATGCTGGTGGGAGCTGCCGTGTGCGGCCGAGCCTCTGATAGGTGAGGTTCCCCACCCCGGTCCCAGCAGCCCCCTTTGCCTTGTGTTCCCAGGCTCCCATAGCCCTGGCCTCTTGTCCCCGGGTCTGGGGAGAAAGCGCTCAGCTGCCAGTCAGAATGCCTGCACGGGAGTCACACTCCTCACGCCTTCCAGCTTTGCCCCTGAGCAAGCCTCCTCCCCACCCTGAGCCTTCTGGAGTTCTCCTCTGGGGTTGGAGAGGGTCATCACTCCTTTCCAACGTTCACTGCTAAAATCTGCCCAGCCACAAGCTGCCTCCTGCTGACGGCGAGCTCATTCTCTGCCCAGAGCGCCTCTGAGCTTCCCCGGGCCCTGGGGACTCTGGGGGTGCGGACGAGCCTTTCATGGGTGGATAACTCAAGTGTGCACCAAGCAGCACTTCCACCTCCACTCGGAGCCCAGTGCAGGCGCCCCAGAGCCCTAGGGCTGGTGCGGGGTGCCCGCGGACCCCGCCCCATGCCCGTGTCTGTGTGCCCGCAGGTTTGGGCGCAGGCTGGTGCTGACCTGGAACTACCTTCAGACGGCTGTGTCAGGCACGGCGGCTGCCTTTGCCCCCACCTTCCCCGTGTACTGCCTGTTCCGCTTCCTGGTGGCCTTTGCCGTGGCCGGCGTCATGATGAACACCGGCACTCTCCGTACGTCACTGCCACGGGCCACACGAGGGAGGCTCGTGCAGGCTCCCAGGCCAACACCTGTGGTCTCCTTGCAGTGATGGAGTGGACGTCGGCACGGGCCCGAGCCTTGGCCGTGACTCTCAACACCCTGGGCTTCAGCTTCGGCCAGGTCCTGATGGCCACAGTGGCCTACGGTGTGCGTGACTGGGCATTGCTGCAGCTGGTGATCTCTGCGCCCTTCTTCCTCTGTTTCGTGTACTCCTGGTGGGTGTCTTCCCTCTCCTCAGAGAAGACCTGCCCCCCCCCACCCTGCGAGCAGAGGTCAGGGGGGCACAGCCAGGGGACAGGCACAGGAGCCTGACACAGCTGGCTGCCCCAGGCCCACAATGCTCAGCCACTCCAACCAAAGGCCTTTCCCTGCTCCTCCCAAGTGCCTCCTCCTCTACTCATCATCCTCCCACCCCTTCCTTCCCATCATCTCTTGGCCCTTTACCCTCTCGAGTCCCTGGGTGCCTTGGCATGCATGCCTCTAGGCATGTTTTCTGAGCCCTTTGTGTCTGGCATGGCAGCACAAGGCCAAGCTGAGCAAAGATACAGCTCACATGCATGTGTGCACACACACACATGCCCCACTCCTAGAACACAGCCCTGGTCAGCCTCATGTACTGACATCATTACTGAAGGACAGGGACCACGACCCAGTGGTCAGAGGGGACTCATGCCCCACCCCCCACAGGGCCAAGATACGTGAGAGGTTAGGGAACATCTGCACTGCCCTGAAATAAATCAGGCATGGTTCTTGCCCAGCTCCTGAAACATAGTAGGTGCACAGCAAATATTTCTTGGATGGCTGGCTGGATAGATAGATGATAGAAAGAAGATGATAAACTAGTGAATGGATGGGTAGATGGACGGGTGGAGGGAGGGAGGGAGGGATAGATGATAGAGATAGATAGATGATAGATGATGATAGATGATAGATAGATAGATGATAGATAGATAGATAGATACATAGATAGATAATAAACTAGTGAGTGGATGGGTGGAGGGATGGATGACAGTCTGCAGAGCAGAGCTGAGCCTGGCTCATTCACAAACAGACCCAGCAACATAGTACTTGCTTGGCCATTGTGGTCACTGCAGAAAGAAGCACAGCAGAAGCCAGGGGAGGACGGGGCACCCCTCCTGGCTATTTGCTGCAGGCCTCTCCCTGGGGCAGGGGGCGGGAGGTTCCGGTGCCCTCCTCCCGGCCACCTAACCTGTGCCCCCCGCTCTGACTCCCTCCGCATGCCGCAGACCCCAAATCCTCTCTTTGGCCCTGCCTCCACCCATCCCCCTGGTGACATCTCCATGACTGGTGTCTTGGCATCACAAATATAACATCTCCTTACACCTGCTCTTTCCCAAGGCTTCCCCAGGGTTGACAGCAGCCCCCTTCCAGGAGGTCCCAGAGTCCAAATTGCCATGACACTTCCCTGTCCCTACCGTCCCCCTGCCCCAAGTCCAACAGGTCACTGGGTCTTGTCAACTCTACCCTTGACGTGTGTCTGGAGTCCCCGTTGTCTCCCTGGCTCTGCTAACCTGAAGGACCTCAGGGTCTGGTGCTTGTGGAGTAGGTGACTCCGCCCCTGGCTGCTGTTCCCAGAGAAAGGGAGCCTGGCTGGGGGCCCTGCCTGAACAGAGGCCCAGAGGCAGAAGCCAGTGTAGAGTGGTGGGCAGGACAAGGGACTCAGTGGGCAGGGCCAGGGCAAGGGGTCTGGGCGCTGGGTGCCAGGTTAGTGTCAGGGGCCAGGTCCTGGCATGAGGAGGGGGAAATGGGATGTGCAGGGCCAACTCGCATCCAGGAGACAGCAACTGTCATCCTGGCATGGGGAACACAGGGTCAAAAGTGAGGCAAGGGCAGTGGGCCCGAACAGGTGCGAGGGGTGCTGGAAGTGACCAGAATCGGTGGCTGATTGGGTGTGGGTGGAGGGGGCTGGTGATGTCAGGACCAAAGACCCTGCTCCAGGCCTGAGCCTCTGGGTGTGAAGCTGCCTGCATGGAAGGGCCTTGGGGGAAGAGCCAGCTCATGCAGGAGGGTGCAGCCTTGAGGGTGAGCAGAAAGGCTGTGTGTGACATCAGGGAGGTGCCAGACAGTAGGGGACCTGGGGGTTTGCAGTCCTGTAGTCCTGTAACTACATGCAGGAGGATCCTTACTGTACATGGATTCACCCAGGCCTGGTTCCCAGGTGAGGCAAGAGAAAGGCCACAGGGTCAGGAGCGAGGCCAGAAGGGGAGGACAGGGACACCCAACCACAGTCCAAGAGGGAGAAGGAGAAAGGCAGAAAGGGTGGCCTGTAGGGGAAGGAGATTATCACACGGTGTGGCCTCACTGAGCCTGGGGCCTGTGGGTGCCAGTGAGCACCCCCCCCGGGACAGAAGGAAACAGAAGGGCAGTGAGGCTCACACAGGCTGGGCCCCGGGGGCCACAGGCAGTGCCCCTCTCATTTCCCCCCTGAACCCCTGCAGGTGGCTGGCAGAGTCTGCACGATGGCTCCTCATCACAGGCAGGCTGGAGCAGGGTCTGCGGGAGCTGCGGAGGGTGGCTGCCATCAACAGGAAGGGGGCGGTGGAGGACTCCTTGACCACCGAGGTAAGGCAGGGCTGGACCTTCCTGTGGGCTCAACCCTCAGACCCTCTCCCTGCCCCTGATCAGGGCTCCTGGGAAGAGGAGGGTCTTAAGGAGGAGGGCCCAGGCACCCCCAGGGCTGACACCTTCCCACCCCAACCCTGCAGGTCCTGCTCTCGGCCATGCAGGAAGAGCTGAGTGCGGGCCAAGCTCCCTCCAGCCTGAATGCTCTGTTCTGCCTGCCTAGACTGGGCCTCCGGACCTGTATCTCCACTTTGTGCTGGTAGATGTCCCCTCTACCCACACCCAAGGCCCCAGCCTCTGCCTCTGGTCGGCTTTGGGCTGTTGCAGGCCCCCAGGGACCCTGGAATCAGGGCTCTGGTTGGCATCCAGTCAAGGGGCCTCCAGTGACTCTCCTATGGGTCCCACTGTCCTGACAGCACCTCCAGGACAGGGCCGGCAGCACAGCCATGTCCCTTCTAGCAGTCAGGCTCCCAGAGGAAGCTGTCCAGGCCAGGTGGGGTCAGGTGGGGGAGAGGGGATGGCAGAGATGCCTAAGGAGGAGTCATAGCAAGGGTGCTGGGAGAGCTGAACTGCCCAGCAGTCTGGGGAGGAGAATGCACGCCCACCCCATCTGCAGGGGCCAGGGAGGAGGGAGGGGTATTACCAGACCCCAGGTGCCAGTGCCACTCAGCAAGGACTAGAACCACCGAGGCCCACAGAAGGACATGCTCAGTTGAAGCTGTAGCCATAGAGGGGCCACGGCCACTGCCAGCCATGGCACCCAAGGGAAGAAGGAAGGAATTATCCCGCCTTCCGCAGCCCAGGACCGCACTGCCAGCATCTCACCAGTGCCTTCCACTGGCCAAACCTAAGGAGGAGCAGCACTGGCAGGGGAGCCCAGGGGAAGGTGGTGCACAGAGACCACCCTCCCACTCCACAGAGCCTGCAGGAAGAGGGTGGAAACGGGTCTGAGAACAAAGGAGCCAGTGAGCAGCCCTGCTCCCCAGCCGACTCCACCTGCCCCGGCCCACAGGTTTGCCTTCGGCTTCACCTTCTACGGCCTGGCCCTGGACTTGCAGGCCCTAGGCAGCAACATCTTCCTGCTCCAGGCCCTCATCGGGGTCGTGGACATTCCAGCCAAGATAGGCACCCTGCTGCTGCTGAGCCATCTGGGCCGCCGGCCCACTCAGGCAGTGTCCCTGGTGCTGCCGGGGCTCTGCATCCTGGCCAACACGCTGGTACCATACGGTAAGCAGGGGGGCCCGGGTGCTTACAGCTGTGTCCAGAGGCTTTCCCACCTAGGGGAGCGGGAGAGGCTGAGCCAGGAACAGAGGCCCTGGCCTCCTCCTCAGAGGCCCAGTTAGGAAGTAGGCTGCTGGGGCATCCGGGAGAGATGGTGGTGGCCTATACCAGACAACAGAAGCAGGGACAGCATGGAGGGGGTGGCATCGTGAAAAATTATGGAGATAAAATAAGAACTTAGTCCTGGAATGCAAGGATAGGCGGGGAGCAGGGAGTCAAGGAGGACTCCTGGGGTCTGGCTCTGGGTGTCAGGGTAGGCATTGAACATAGCCACGAGGTCACTGAGGATGTGTTCTGGGGACACCCAAATGGAGGTGAATCACAGACATTGGGAGGTTAGGGACAGGTTTAGGCTGGAAAGAGCCCCCATCTGACCTCGGAGCCCCTGCCACCGACTTTGCTAACTGTCCACAGAGATGGGGGCCCTGCGTTCAGCCCTGGCCGTGCTGGGGCTTGCGGGAGTGGGAGCCGCCTTCACTTGCATCAGCATCTACACCGGTGAGCTCTTCCCCACCGTGCTCAGGTGAGGGGTTGCCTGGGGCTGGGAGGGCAGGATGGGGATGGCCTTCCTCAGACTCGGATGTTCCCCGCCCTCTCCCCTCCATGTGACCTCAGGGCTGCCCAGGTGCATCCTGCCCCCGCTGGACCCCTGTATCCCTCTGGACAGAGTGGGCCTGGGCGGTCAAAGCCGTGGGCAGACAGAGTGGCCCCTCACTGGTGTGTCTGTGACTATAGGATGACGGCGGTGGGCCTGGGCCAGATGGCAGCCCGTGGGGGAGCTATTCTGGGGCCTCTGGTCCGGCTGCTGGGTGTGCACGGCCTCTCGCTGCCCCTGCTGGTGTACGGGGCAGTGCCCGTGCTGAGTGGCCTGGTGGCCCTGCTGCTGCCAGAGACCCAGAGCCTGCCGCTGCCTGACACCATTCAAGATGTGCAGAACCAGTGAGTGAACTCAGCCCTGGGGCCGACCTCTCTGCCTTCCAGAGAACCCCGGGATGGGGCGGGCCTGTCACCCACCCCCATCGCTGGGCACAGGGGAAGCAGAGGTGCAGGAAGGGATGGAACTGGCTCCAAGTCACACAGTACATCTTTGGGAGATGAGACCAAAGGCTGGGTCCCCCGGCTGACGGCCTGGACTCTGTCTCCTGCTCTTCATTCTACCATTTAAGGCCTAAATAGCTGGGCCACCCCCAGCTCCACCTTAAGAGAAGTCCAGGGGATGGAAGCCTGTAGTCTTTTGTAAAGGGGGGGCCAAGGGGCATGATAGGCATTGTTGGAGGCCTTGGGGGTCCCGGAATCTGTTGCTGAATCCCCTTGATAGCTGGCAGGGCTGTCACCTGCCCACCGATTCCCCAGCATGTACTCAGGGGGCCCATTCCTGGGCTCCCCAGAGCAGCGCAGGAAGACCTCTCGAGTCCCTGGGAGAGATATAGTTCAGGGGTCAGAGGTCATGCTGCACCCACGAGACACAAAGCTTTTGTCTTTCATGTCTGAACAGCGCAATAAAGAAGGCAACACAGAGCACCCTGGGGCCCATGGTCCTGAAATCCACACACCTTTAAGCCTTCTGGGAGTTCTGCCAAGGATCGCTGGGCGGAGCACCTTCTCTCCTTTGGAGGAGGCAGGACAGCAAAGGCCCCCATCTCTAGAAGAGGCCCCAGGGCTATCCCTCTCTGCCAGAGGAGCCACCCTTGATAGAGAAGGAGGAGAGGATGGCTTGACTGGCCAAGGGGTCCACCCCATGCACCCTCGCAGGACCCTCCCTCACGACTGTGAGGAGGAGCAGGGACCAGCTTCCCACCCTGCTCCCTGCTCACTCTGCTGGCGGCCCCCAGCTGGCCACTGCCCCCTGAGCTTGGAGGCCACCATCACCCGCAGTCAAAACTCTCCCAGCACCTCGCACTGCCCCAAGGGCCCCAACATGTCTCAGCTCCTCAGCTGTACCCAAAAGGCAGCTCTGGCCCTTGGTCCCTCATCCCCACATTCCAGCCACGGGACCCATCCTCTGTGCCCCTCCTACCGGACCCAGGGCAATAGCCTCCTTCCTGCAGGCCCAGGGCCCAGCCCAAGGCCAGAATGAATCCCTTACCCACAGCTGTGGCCACGCACATGACTCCTGCCCTGCCAACCCAGGGGTTCCCAGAGGCTTCCCCCTTGGCCCCAGCTCCCACACAGAGCCTGGTGGGAGGGGCAGCAATGCGAAGGAGGCAAAAGAATGAATAAAGGAACAAATGACAGCCCTTCACTGACTCCACTGATGAGCCACAGGTGGGGGTGGGGGTGGGGGTGGGGTAGAGGAGAGCTCTGGGGAGCTCCTTAAGGGGTTGGCCCTCTCCCAGGCTGATTTTTCTGCTCCTGGTGCCAGGCCAGAGTGTCTGCCCTTTCTTTCAAGCTCTGTTATGAGCTGGGCACCATCCTGGATACCTCAAGGCATCATCTTATCTTTTCCCAAACCCTTCAAGGAAGACAGCCCATTTTACAGATGGGACAGTAAGGTTGGATAAACCAATTATCCATGACCTACAGCTAAGAGAGGCAGAATCATGAGTGAAAGCCTCAGTCTCCAGAGCCCAGCCTTGGCTACGACCGCAACCCCCCAGCTTGCCCTGGGCCATGCAACCTGGGCAGCCAGGGATGTTTTTTGAGGCAGAGGCCTCCCTCTCAGAACCAGCCAAGACCCAGCAGAGTCTACTGGCACCACTTACAGGAAAACCCGGGGCAAGACCTCACATGGAAAGGGATGGACGCCTGAACTCCCCTAACACAAATGTGGGTGTAGGCAGAAGCCACTTGCTGCCCATCGGGGTCCCCACCAGCTGCTAATCTGCTGAGCCACCCCAGAGCAGTGCTCAGGTGGTCTCTGCTCTGTTTGTGTCACTGCTTCCAGGCGCCTCCTCAAAGGTACCCTACACATGCGTGCACACACAGACATACACACACACACACACACACACACACACACACACACCAGTGATGGGGGTACACGTGCTCAGACACACATGAGAAGACAAATGGGAAAAGAGAAAGTTGCTCCTTGTCCCCTGGAGACAGGTTCGCTCACTGGCCTGGTCTTACCGGCTGCAGCCCTGAGCCTCTGAGGGTGGGGGTAGCAGGTATCTGCCTGTGGCCACCCCTCAGTGGAGACCCCCAGGACAAAGGGAGCGGGAGTGGGGATCACGTTTGTAAAACTGCCCAAAGGCAAGTTTGTCTCAGCCTGCTCTGAACTTCTGGTCCTTCCTGTCTGCTGCTCAGCCGAGCCCTAGATACTTTCCCACCTTTGCTCAGCATTCTTGGGGCCCTGTGGTGTCCAGAAGCTTCCAGATGAGAGAACCCAGGAGTAGTGGGAGATGGCTCCTCCTCAACCCTAGAGTGTTCTCCAGTTCGCCAAGTGTTCAGAGCTCTCCCCCTGCCCACATGCAGAGCAGCCTTGCTCCTGGCCCTTCCAGGAGGTCCCAGGTTCCCGGACCCATCCAGGCCCTACCGGCTTCCAACTTGTCCTCCCCTCACTCAGCAGGACCTGGAAGCTGGGAGGGTCCAGGGCCCTGTTCCTCTCGGGCAGCCAGGGACGGCTGTCATCACCATGGCAGAGAGGATGCCCTGTGAAGGGTGAGGGGCTTTCTGGGCAGCAAAGGCCTGCTTCCCAGCTGGGTGCCACCACCCAAATGGCAGGCCTTCACTTAGGACACTCCATCTCTTCTGATGCTCACCGCAGGGATCTCCCGACCCCAGGGGCTGCAGGGGCACCCCACGATGGAAGAGCCAAGGGAACTGGGTGTGGGAAGGAAGAAGCCATCAACTACCCCACAGTCTCATTCTCCCCATGGCAATAGAGGCCTCAGGCAGTGTGGACAGGAAAATGGCTCGGCACCCACTTGGGCCCCTCTCCTGGCTCCAGCCAGGACTGCAGCTCTCCCAAGAGGGTATGTGGGGAGGGCCATGCAGGCTCCTTTGGCTCCTTATCCACCTCCAGGAAAGGGCTGTCCTCCCAGAAGACTCCAGGCCTGGCTGAGATTGTGTTCTATTACCTGGGGGGTTGTGTGGTCTTCAAGGTCAAAGGTATCAGCTAGACTCCACTTTCAGCTTCTTCCCTCAACTCTGCCCTAGATCCTCCCCAGGTGGAATCTCCTGACACATCCCTGCAGGTAACAAGGGTCAAGGAGTGAGGTTCCTGGGGTTTCAGTCACCCCAGATGCTGTTTGCACACTCCTGGAGGTCACTGCCAGGCCAGCCAGACCCCAAGGAACTCAGCTCAGGCCCAGGTGTTAAGTTCAACATCATATGCCCAGACGAAGGAGCAGAGACTGAAGTGACTATATCTTGCAGATGGGTAAACTGAGTCAATGGTAGTGTCCAGAAATCTCTCCTCTCTTACAACCAAGCCCTTGAGCAGGACTGGAGCCCATCCTGCCAACTCCTGCCCTGTCCCTCTTCCTGGACCCCTACTCTGACGGACTGTTCAGGGTCATTCTAGAAGTTTCCAGAGTAAGAATGTTCCCTTCTTGGCACATGGAACTCCTGCCTGCCTATATTTGTTTTCTTTGGCTAGTGGTGATGGGGCAGGGGAACCTGAGATAAGTTTCCATCCCTTGGACAGAGACCCTGGGGGGCAAGGTCATTACTGGCACGAGGACAGGATGGCCTGGCAAGATTGCTCTGAATCAGGGCTTCCTCCAGGCTTCCCCCAGGTTCTAGGACTGTGAGCAGTGGCAGACAAGCAGGGTCCATGCCTTCCCAGGGGGTGGCTGGTTAAGGAGACAAGGGGAGGCCAAGTCTTTGGAAGTCCACACTGGGGGCAGCTCCAGGAGATCCCAGTCTCTCACCAGGGACAGCACTCAGGGACGGTCCCTCAAAGGTCCCTGAGGAAACACCCCAGGGTAAGGAGGATCCTAAAACAAAAGCTTCATTCCAGGATGGAAGGAGGGGGAAGCGGGGCTCCTGTGGAGTCAAGCCAAAGGACCCTGAGAAGTGTCCAGACCTGGAAAATGCCCCAAGAATGAGCTGGCCAGGGGCACCTGGGTGGCTCAGTGGGTTAAGCAGCTGTCTTCAGCTCAGGTCCTGGGATCCAACCCTACGTGGGGCTCTCTGCTTGGTGAGGAGTCTGCTTCTCCCTCTGCCCCCCCCCCCATTCATTATCTCATTCTCTCCCTGAAATAAATAAAATCTTTTTTTTAAGTGAGCTGGCCAGGGGTGCCTGGGTGGCTCAGTGGTTGAGTATCTGCCTTTGGCTCAGGGCGTGATCCCGGGGTCCTGGGATCGAGTCCCACGTTGGGCTCCCTGCATGGAGCCTGCTTCTCCCTCTGCCTGTGTCTCTGCCTCTGTGTCTCTCATGAATAAATAAACAAAATCTTAAAAAAAAAAATGAGCTGCCCAGCAACAGAGCCACCTGCGAATGGAAGTTCATGACACAGATCGAAGTGAAGGATGATGGGGAGCGAAAGACACAAGAAAGCAGAGCCAGGAGAGGGAGGTGAGATCCACCCCGCAGAAAGGAGAGAACACCTGAGTGACAGAAGCGTGGCTGAGGCACAGCTCACGCGTCCAGTGGCGTGGCGATGCAGTTGCCGCCTGGAAGATGAAGACCACCTATGCTCTGCTTTCCTGAGAAGGCCCACACAGTCGGCTCACAACCTCACCTCAAGAGGTTATACTCCTTGCGACCGAGAAGCTTAGCAAATACAGACCAGGGTCTCAAGGCATTTGGGACCAGGGCCTGTTCAGTGTCTCCATGAAGGAGCAAACACCGGAGGGCAGGCTCTACTCCTACCTGCAGCCCAGGAGCTACCCACAGTCAGCCAGCGTGAACTGGAGTGGGGCTGGGAGGGCTCCAGACCAGAGCGTCCAAATCCCTAGGGATGCAGAAAAAGCAGAGACTCTGGAGTTAGGCAGACTGGGGGTGAGTGTGGACTCAGCTCCTGAAGCTCTCTTCACCCAGGAAGAACGCCACCTTCCCCAAGGGCTGTGTGTAATAGGGGCCGTGCCCTTGCAAGAGCCTGGCCCAAGCGGCCCCCAGAGGCAGAGACCCACTGTAGCCACTAGGGGGCAACACAACGCTCTTGCCTCTGACTTGGGCTGCTGAGCTGACCAGGTGGATGGGCTCAACCAGGGCCACGCCCCAATGGCGCCCCCAGCCCCAACCTTAGGCCAGGAGGGACCTAGGAGTGAGACAAAAACAAGGCGCCCCCGGCAGCCCCAAACCACGCTCAGCCCAAAACTTCACAGGCTACTTACCAGCTCTCATGGGCAGCAAGCTGGGCCCAAAACCCACCTCAGAGCCAGGACCAATGTCCCAACAGCACCCACCCTGAAAAAATTGCACAGGACCGTTGGATTTGGAAAGTTTTTGTTTTCTTTTCCCACACATTTCCGGGGTTGGGGTGTTTTCCAAGACTCAGACACATTTGTTAACAAAGAGAAAAAAACTGGGGGAGCAGGGAGCCTGTGGGCAGAGAAGTGACCCCAGCAGTCAGTGGGCAAAGCCCGGCTCTCTCTTCCCCCGTGCCCGCGCCCAACGGGTGCCACAGGCTGCTGCTCGCGGTATCTAGATAATTTGTCTTTAATATATATCTGCATTTGCCTTTCCCCTCCCACCCGCCCCCCACCCCTGCTCCTCCAGCAGCTCCCCCATCAATGCACGTTGCCCGGCGGCACACAACAGAACAGGCCTTCCCCGGCAGGAGCCCCTTCCCTGGGCGGCACCAGGCCAGCACCTCCTCTTTGATGGGAGAGTGGGGGGGGTTCAGAGGGGGCCACCCCACTGCCCCACCCCTGCTCCCCACCCCCCTTCGCTGGGCCGCTGGGCCCACCCACCCGCCCTTCTCCCACCGACTCTGGAAACCCAAAGTTAGGAAAGGGAGAAACCAGACACACACAAAAGAAGTGGAGAGGGTGGGGACAGAGAGACGCAGCAAGCCTGGGATGGGGGCCGGAGGGCTTGGAAAGAGAAGGAAGGCAGGAGGGACAGAGGCAGGGAGAAAGATGGAGAAAACGAACGGGATGAGGAGTGGACACCTTACAAACCCCCCAGCCTTCCTTTCCGCCCAACCCCACCAAAATAAAACTACCCCCCACACACACACCTTAAAAAAATAAATCAACCCAGGGCTGTGAGCACGTGCCCTGCCCGGGGCGGGCGTAGGGCTGAGGGACAGACAGGCCCCCGGACGCACGGACGCCAACGCCCCGGGCGGCAGGAGGAAGGGGAAGAGCACGGGGTTTCCTTTCCTACTTTTTTTTTTTCCTCTTTCTTTTCATTTTTTTCCTTTCTTTTTTCTTTTCCTTCGTTCTTTCTTTTTCTTTTTTTTTTTTCGGGTTTTTGTTTTTTGTTTTTTTTGTTTTTTGTTTTGTTTTGTTTTTTGCGTTTCCTCTTTGTGAGAGAAGTCTGAGGCAGCCAGGGAGTGGGTCCCCAGAGCGCCGGCAGGGAGAGGGCGCACCCTCCTCCCGGGGCGCCCCTGTCCCCGGAGAGGGGCAGCTGGCAGTGGGGCGCGGTGCCGGGGCTCAGGGCTCAGACGTAGTACTCCTTGTCTTTGTTCTTCTTGGCCTTGCTGGGTGTCTTGGGGGCGGCCGGGGCCTTCTCCTTCACCACCGCCCCATTGCTCTGGGCCGAGTTACTGATGTAGTTCCGGCTCTGGTCCACCTGGTAGGAGCCCTCGTCGCGGTTGCGGTACTTGTACATGGCGTAGAGGAGGATGAGGATGCAGAGCGCCGCGGCCGCCACGATGCCCACCACCATGCCCGTGGTGCTGCTGGACTCCCGGATCACCTCCACCGCGCCCGGCGGGCCCCGCTCCCCAGGCCCCGTGGGGTTAGCTGTGGGCAGACGGGGGAAGCCGGGGGCGGAGGTCACGCCGGGGCGCAGGGGCGGGGGCCTCCGCGGCTCAAAGGACGTGGGGGCCCCGGGCCCCAGGGGGGGGTTCTCCAGCAGGGGCTGCAGCGGGTCTCGGTGGTTCATTTTGCCCGCAGGCAGGTTGGGGGCCGGGGCGGAGGGGGCCAGCAGCACCCCGGGGGCGCCCGTGGCCCCATCTGTCCTGAGGTTGGGCCGGGGAGCGGGTTTGCGAGGTGAGAGGAGGGTGGTGCGGTCCGTGACCAGGGGGAAGGTGGTGTAAAAGTCCTCGTCGTCCGTGGGGGGCAGGCTGGAGTCAAAGACCTCCCCGGACGCAAAGCCCGAGGCCTCGATGGGCTCCTCGCAGTCGCTGTCGTCCTGCTCGGCCTGGCACGGGCCCCCGGCGGGCGGGCGGCGGGCCGCGGGCGGGGGCAAGGTGTCTTGGGTGGCGCCCACGCCCGTGAGGAAGGGGTAGAAGGTGGGGGGTGGGGGCACGAAGGGGGACCGGGTGGCCACGGGAGGGGGGTCTAAGGAGTCCTCCGTGATAATGGGCAATATTAACTCTCCTCCTAGAACAAGAGAGAGAAGAGAGAAGAGAGGGTGTCAGCGAGGGCCCAGGGCGCAGGCGGCCGGCACAGAGAGAGAAACAACAGCCTCACACACCCAAATCGGTTCCAATTGGCTTTGGCGGAGACTAGAGCGGGCCGGGCCCGCCCGCCAGCCTGCCGGAGCACTGCGCTTTAAGCGGGCAGCGGCTCAGATGCCCTGGGCACCCCACGCACGGGCTCTGTGGCTCACTGGGTTTTGGTCTTTTGTTTGTCTTAAGAAACCAAAAGGAACAGAAAAGAAAGGAAATCGAAAAGAAATGGAAAAAAAAAAAAAACTCTACTGGTTTAAGGTTTAAAAACAGATACAAGAGCAGCATTTAAACAAACCTAACAACAGTATCTTTTAGGGTTTTTTTTTTTTTTCTAGATTTTTCTCTTTTTTTGCTTTTTTTTTTGCTTTTTTTTTTTTTTTTAAAAAAGAAGATAGCATACCACGGAATTCAGGCAACTTACATCAACAAATAGGCCGTGTGATTTTAGCATGAAGAAAAAAATTACAAACAGAGCTGTGTAAGCGGGTTCTCCCGGAAAAAATAAGAAAAAACAACTTTTCCGTACAACGTTTTCTGTCTATCTGTTTGGTATCTCCCTCCCTCACTTTTCTCTCCCTGGACATCTTGCTTCCTCCTGAATATTCTCTCTCCTCCCTCACTTGTGCCCTCTCCCCCTCATTAAACACAAAGCTAAAATCTGTACAGAGCAGGCTGGCATGGAGAAATTCATACCACCACTTGGTGTCAGCGTGCATTGGGGGTGGGGAGCAGTGGGAAGGAGGGTGGGGAGAAGAGGTACATGACTGGTGGCTAGGTGGGAATTTCTACATGGGTGAGAAGAATTGAGGGGATGATCATGGGAAGGAGCTTTGAAGGCTTATTGCAGGCTGGCCATGGGAAGACAAGAAATTGAAGGTGGGAGGTGACAAGGTCCATGAGAAAGAGTGGGCAAGGAGGAAATACACATTGGAGAAGGGTCCTGTCCCATAGGATTTTGGGCAAGGTGGTGAGAAGCCATGTAGAGGCAGGGAGGTGGGGAAGTGGGGAGGGGGTGGGAGGGAGGGAGGGAAGTGGACAGGAATGCCTGAGTCCTGAGCTAACTCTAATTCCCTTTCAGCTTTCTCTTTCTTCACCCTCCACCTCTGACCCCCACTGGCTTTCCCCCCTCCCCCTCCCCAGAACCCCCATGGGCCACCAGGACCTGACCAGGGCTTGACTGCCTCTGGCCCTCTTATTATTGTTAAAACAATAATAAAACAACGGAAAGAAGAAGAAAGCAAAAAAAGAAAAGAAAATACATACACAGCCATCTGGGAAGGAAGCACTTGCTAATACAGGGCCCAGGGGAGGGGGGAGGGGAACTAGTGGGGAAGGTTTTGGGGGGCGGGAGGTGGGGGTGATTAGGACTCCTCTCTCCCTAGGTCTAATAACTGAGGGACCCTTGGCATAAACTGCAATTCCCATCAGCCCCAAAGGGTGAGAACTACAACTCCCGTTAGCCCTCGGAGGGGTGTGGACTACAATTCCCATGAGGCCCTGGGTCAACAACTACAATTCCCATCAATCCACTGCCCCTTCTCCAAATATGGTAAGCCCACTGGTGTGGGGTAGGCTAGCTGGAGTCTGGCTCTAGGGCTTCCTCTTCTTAGAGGGGCACCTCTGGGTCTGGTTGGAGCTGGAAATTTCTTCTCTGGCTCTCCCTCTACCCAAGCCCTGCCCCCATCTGAGTGCTTCTCCCTGGTTTCTGTAGGGTGTGATTTTCAAGACTCCACAATCCCTTACCCCCTCGGTTGGAAACATCCCTGGGCTGCGCTACCAGGTCTTGCCTGCCTCACTGCAGCCAAGCCAGACGTGTGCCACTGCCACATCTTTGCAGCTCTTCTGCTCCCTTGCTATTTAAACACTCTGCTCTTTGGATCCCAAGCCCCAGCAATCTGGAAGAGCTGTCCTTGGCCACATTGGCCAGCCACAGCCAAAATCTTGCCATTGAACTTGAAGCCTTGCCGAGCTCCTCGGGCTGCTCCTCCCACCATGCTCCAATCTCCCCCTGGGCCAGGGCTCACCTGCACCCCAGATTGTGAAGCCCCGGGGCATCTGGCCACACTGAGAAACTGAACCAAAAGCAGACAAGCATGTTCTGTGGAGCTGGGACCATCCAACATTGGCCTTTAATGGAAGAGGATGTCAAGGCCTGGGGTGGGCAGGACTTCCCAAGGTCACTAGGTGTGTCAGGGAAGGTGAATGAATGGACTATCCAGTCCTTTCTGTCGTTCTCAGAGGCCAAGGGAGAGCCAAGTCTCACAAAGAGCCTGAAAAGGCATGGTGCATCCTCCCCATGCCTGCAGTCATCTGCTTGAGTCTTAGCTTGTGAACCTGGGAGGCCACAGACCTTTTGTCATTATTTCCTGTATGACTGTGGACAAGCTTCTCTCACTGTCTGGACCTCCATTTCCTCATCTATAAAATTAGGGTGTTGGGCTCCAGGCCCAGGGTGAGGCCACAGCCTGGCTTCCACAGCCCTGCAGGCGAAGGATGAATTATTTATCCCCTCATCCCCTCCTGAGCCCTGGACCCAGCATGGATGGCCCAGCACCCTGGTCCCTGGGCAAGGGGCACACTCAGCTCTCAGCTCTTGGGGGGAGACTGGCAGCCTATGTCCAATCATGGTAGCGGTCCCCTCCTTGCTGGTTCATACCACCTGCCCTCTTTCTGACCTTTGCTTTCTGTTCAGAACACCTTGCCCCTGCCCATATCTCACTCATCCTTCAAGTCCAGCCAAACAATCTCCTCTTCCAGGAAGGCTTCTGGTTTGGGCTTACTGCCAGGGAAGCCTTGAGGCCCATCTGCCTGTCTCCCTAGCACCCAGCCCTGGGCCTGGCACAGAGGAGGGGCTCATTGTATTCTGACCAATGGAAGGAGAAGAATACTCATCAAGCATTTCCTCTGAGCCAAGTATCTGGGGGTGGGGTGGGGTGGGAGCCCCTCTCATGGGCGAGAGCAGCTGGGCTCTGAATGCCCTTCCTCTCCTGGACCACAGGCAGCAGGCACTGCTGAGTTCAGCCTGATGGGAGCCCTGCTCCATGCACCCAGCTCTCACCCACAGCCATCTCTACCTTAGCTCTTACATGAGGCCACCAGTTGCTCCTGGAAGCTTCAGGATCAGGCTGTCCTAGGCAGGCTTGTGGCCCTCAGCTAGCTGCTCAAAGCTAGGGCCCAGGGAAGAGTCCCTTGCTGGGGACATGTCATGCCCTAGAGGGGCTGATCAGGCCAACCAGGGCACAGACTCTGTCTCTCTACTCTTTGTCACCCCCAGATAGACTAGGAAGGGTTGGGGGGGGGGCTATAGGCCTTAAGCCACAGACAAATCCTGCCCAGCCTGAGCCTTCCATAACCATTTGCCTCCCAACTCCCTGGTTCTTTAGGTCCTTGGGGCACACAGCACCCCCCCTCCCACCAAGTTCCCACATGCAGTCTCTCCTAGGCTTCAGAGCCCTGACAAGCCTGGTCACATTGACTCATCCCTGCCCTTGAACTCCAGCTGTGTCCTGGCCTCTATATCTGGGTCTTAGTCCCGTCCCTGCATCCTCTGCTTCTCTGGGAGCTTGCCCTGGGCCCTTCTCTGTCCACAGCTTTGACAGCATCTCCTGAGGGTGTCCTGTGCTCACTCACATCCTCTACACCAGCCTCCATCTCTGCCTCCCACAGCTCCTGCTCTCTCCAAGATAGTATGCTACCAAGACCACATACTGTCTCCTTTCCCCTATATTCACCCAAGCCCACAGATCTGGGATCTGTGGCCACCAAGTCACATGCAACACAGGCTACTGGGTTATCCTGGGGTCATACACTGGTCCAAGAGGGGTCAGGCAAGCTTGCCCTGGTGAGAAGTTAGCAGGGTCTGGGGGAGAGGAGGACCCGTCAGAGACTCCTCACTGTGAAAGTCCAATCGGGCCCTCCCTGGGCTGCCTTTCCTACCGGGTACTGGAGGGACTAGTGATGCCCAGGACTTCAGATTCAGCTCTACAAGGGTGCACCCTGGGATGGGGCGCCCCTGGGAGTCTGATAAAGAGCCTCAGCCACTTCCCTCCCCTCCCCCACAGCAGGCAGCTCCAGTGCTTGGAAAGTACTCACAGGTGCATTTATCACAGATGCCACCCACCTCCACTCTGAGGTTGAATGTCCGGGCATGTCAGTCTCACTTACTAAAGATAATTCCATTCTGGCCAAGCAGACCACCAGCTGTTCCTGAGCACCCTTTCCCCCCTCCAGCTCCCAGTCCCTCCTCCCCCAGCTCCCCTAACTCCCCTACCTCTACCCAAGAACCCCATTCCCACCCAAGCAGAATGTACCCACCCTCCAAGGACCATCAGGAACTGAGATGGAGTGTCTGAGGCTAAGCAGTCAGCAGGCTGAGACCCATCCACCTGCCTCAGCTTTGCGGACCAGAAAGCCATTAGCCTACAGGGCATTTCCTGTAGGTTAGAAAAAATGCAGCCCTTCAGTGTGGCCACTGCCCTTCAGGTGCATGACTTGGCAAATGGTATCTGTACACAATCAGAAAAGAGATATTCTGTCTACGTCCTGGGAGCGCAGCCCTGCTCCCAGGACCAGGACACGTGGCTTGGTGAGTAGAGAGCACCAGCTAGATTTCAGCCTTTACTCACCTGTTCCAGCAGGGAACCACCTGTGCAACTGTGTACAGTGGCCTGAAGGAAGGTGCCCCACCCCACTTGGAAACACCAGCTCAGCAACAGCAAACATCAAGGTGAATTCAAGGTCAGGTGGAGGTGTGTCGTGTGTGTGTGTGTGTGTGTGTGTGCACGCAGAAGAACACATCCTCAGTCTGCTTCTGTGCACCTGGGCATATATCTCCAAGTCTATGTGTATGTGTGCACAAAGCATGATAATCTGAGCACACGAACGTGGGTGTCCAGGAATCTGAACAAACGTGTGCATGCAAGTGAACCT